ATATTGTGTAAATAAGATCAAAATGGTAGTGTTCAATGTTATAAATGTATCTAGAATTAGTATGAAATGTGTAACTTTAGATTAATGACCTATGGATCTAATAATAATAGTGTTAAGAATTAGAGAAAAAAAATGAAGCCATCTTTTCATCATGATGATTCATTTATTTTCTTAAGGCAGGAGCTGTTGCGAAGTTGGGTAGACTATTTGTGGATTGGAAGGCAGGACGTTAGAATTTGATGATTGTAAAATGATCGGGGGGGTGGCGGGAATATTGCATGGTCCCTTTAAAAGCTTTTTTTTAAGGCTTGCAGATTAAAAAAATTCTGCAGGCAGCAGCAGATACACAGAGAGTTCATGAAATTGAAACATTGTACCGAAAGGCTGTGTTGTCAGCAGGCAAAGCAGCATTTTTACTAAGACAACAGGTTTTTGAACTTAGCCAATTAATTTAAACCAGGCCCGAGATACCAAAACTCAACTAAATTTAAATCTGATGGTTTTGACAACTGAGGACCAATCCTATTAAAAGAAATTAATATGTCATCAAGAGTGTAAAAGAAGAAGGTATTTGAACATTGGTGCGAAAGCAACTGCCATCTAAAGTTAAAAATCCATCTGATCTAAAAAGAAAATCACTGGCTGTCAGAATTCTCTAAGCTCTCAGAATAACCAACATCTAAAGATATAACGGAACTCTTAGTATTCCTGACACAAGAATTTGATGAGGAAAGGCATTCCTGACTGAAAAACAGCAGAGAAGGCACTGAATATTCCAGATGTGGAGTGAACTGTAGTTTATTTGTTTATGGCAAAATCAAGCGACCCACAATTATACTACCAGCAAACCCTAAGGAAATAGACGATAATCCCCTGCGGATGTTAATTGAAACTAGGGACAAATTTCATAATTTTTGTACTTACAGATAGAGTCATAGAGATATACAGCACAGAAACGGACCCTTCGGTCCAACTCATCCATGCCAACTAGATACCCTATTTAAATCTAGTCCCATTTGCCAGCATTTGGTCCATATCCTTCTAAACCCTTCCTATTCATAAACTCATCCAGATGCCTTTTAAATGTTGTTATTGCAGCAGCCTCCACCACTTCCTCTGATAACACATTCCATACATGCATCACCCTCTGCGTGAAAAATGTACCCCTTTTGTATCTTTTCCCTCTCACCTTAAACCTATACCCTCAGTTTTGGACTCCTCCACCCTGGGGAAAAGACCTTGTCTATTCAACCTATCCATGCCCCTCATGATTTTATAAACCTTGAGAAGGTCACTCCTCAGCCTCTGATGCTCTGGGGAAAGTAGCCCAGCCTATTCAGCCTCTCCCTATAGCTCAAACCCTCCAACCCTGGCTACATCCTTGCAAATTTGTCAATGAAAGTAGGGAAGATCTCATTGGATGGGAAATAAACAAACATGGACAAAATAATCTGAGTTGTTATACAAGGAATAAACGGGAAGATTGCCTGTATGAAATAACTTCCTTGATTTTATTTCTGTAGCAACTGACATTCAAGTGCATATTAGAAAGTCTTATTACGTACATATCTTACATATCTTGACTTTCAGAAGGTGGCTCATGTCAGATGTGGAAAAGCTGATTAATACGTTACCTGCTCTCAAATACAATCTAAATTGATCAAACTTGTGAATAATAAATGAGCCAGAACAGTAGAATGTGATAAAATAACCAAGAAGTTAACATGGACAAAATCTTTCTAAACAGTCAAACTGTGAGAGATTAAATTTAATACAGAAATGGCACAACACTCATCACTATAACAAATGATTGGAAAAATTCTTAAATGATTGATAGACTAGTTTGTGGGGGACACAATAATCTCTGGCCATGATAGTGTTAGAACTATGCTAATTTTTTTTTATTGTATCGTTTGGTTTGGTGCTTTGGATTGTGAGCTGGGGGCTGGCGGTGATGTTTGAACTGTGAGCAGCAGCTTGATTTGTTTTGGAAGGACAGAAAAACTGACATTTGTTTATGAGGTCAGGTCTCGAAGATAATTGCAGGTTGATTCTTGTTCCAAGTACTTTATAGACATTTAACTCTGAAGAGGCATTATACTCAAACAAATGACAGGTGCTGAATGTTAAATAGCCTTACAGAAAGGCTGGTACCAAGAGAATGTTGGGAAAAAAAGAAAGAGAAACCAAAGTTTGCACTGGTTTTGAACAGAAGTTTTTTTTAAACCAGATGATTGTGGCCATGTAAGCTATATGGGGGAGGTTTGATTGCTCCCTGGTTATCCTTCCGTTATCAACTTATTGAAAGTTCAGAGAATAGAATCTCAGTTATAGGAATTAAGCAAATATTCCTCAGAGTCTACTGGAAGCTGTTTACATTGACTGGTGTCTTCATAAAACCAAACAAGATGCAATCTCATATGCCTGTGATATTACTGATCATAGATACTGCTTAAGTGAGATGGCCAGTTACATCTCATTTATTTTCCTTTTGATTAATCCCTTAACTGTGTCTGTTTGTCTCTCTATCTTTCTGTGAATAGAGTCTAGAAGCAAAGAAGATTGGGTTTAAATTATAGACATTAATTAGAATACCTTGTTCTTTCACTTTTCTCTGCTAAAACTACTGTATTAGTAACAAATTGTTAATTCTTTTGTTTAGGCTATAAACCTGGTGTCTAGTATCAGTTATTCACTAAGATTAATTTTTAAAAAAAGTCTTGTTAGGAGCCATTGGGCTAATTTTGAGGGTCTTTGTGTATTTCATTTTTCTGTTGCAAATACAAGGATAGGGAGGCTGATTTTGATTTGGCTCGCTGCCTCTGCGACGTAACAGTAGTAATCTTGATATGAACCATATCTTGGCATAATCGATAAAAGCAAGCACAGTTCAGAACTGTATGTCAAACTAATAGAGGCAGTTAAGTTGAAAAAATAAGTGTGTTCTGGTCAGGCTGCACCAGCATTCAGCTCAGGGGATTATAACTTGTCCTGCAGCCGGTGCAAAACAAAGGACTACATTACAGAATCCAGAGGACTTCATTATGATAAAAAAATGAAAAAGGCTTCCATTCATTCAACCTTAAAAGACAAATATTAGGATTCCTTATAGATATATATGTTACAAAGTAAAACAGAAAAGGTCAACTTAATGCACTTCAGTATTTCATGTTAAATGATGAATGCAAAGCACAGACAGACTTTAATAACTGATTTAAAAATTTATAAGACCGATGTCAGAATTTATTGCTTTTCAAAGAATGATTAACACCAGAGATGGAATTTTAAGTAGGGGAAGTAAAAATTACGCAGTTAAAGCATGAGACTGATAAATGTTGTGTTAAAGATATCATTGCTTTGTGGAAATTGACTTGGATGATTAAATTATCTCTCTCTTTTCTATTTACCTTCAACAAATTACTAAGAAAAACATGAAATAATCTGAAGTGGAAAAAAAATGTACATACCTTCAACTTCTTCTTCTGTTATAACAGGCAAATGGAACACAAGGAAACATATTTATTACAGGTAACTAGAGCATTCCTTTTGAAAAATATGGAAGTGAAGTATTTTCATTTTCAACTTCTTACCTTCTTGTTCCCTGAAATAAAACAATAATCTTTTAAAAATCTCCTCTAACACTCTGCAAGTTGGCTGAGCAATGACTGAACTGCGCAAAACAGAGAAGTCCTAGATTCACCACCTAACTTATGTTAAATTACAGCTGGGATACTAACATAAACTGAAATTGACCTTAGGCCCTTTGGATTAGGGAGAAAAAAGTTAGACCAGGACTCCTAATCATGAGAATTTTTGCCAATAACATTGCACATCTGTAGTAGTTATGAGATAGTAGATTTGCGCTTCATTATGACACTTTCACCAGTATCATAGCTACTGAAATAGGAGGTCAAGGCTCTCTCATGAAAAATGGCTTCTTGGGTGAGGTACTGGGTAAAAAGTCAGTGACTCCAAGAAGGGGATGCTTTGGAATGAATTTGGTATGAAAATATCACAAATGGTGCACTGAACAATTGAAAACATTTAAGCAATGAGAAGTCAAAGACAAAGGTAACAGAATAAAAGATTATAATTGTACCAACTGAAAATTATACTTACTCAACTTCCTCCAGAAAGTCTTCTGTGTCTGACATATTCAAAAATAATTTCTTGTGGCTGAAAAGATAACAGTCATAATGCATTTCTGCCACATTGCTTCAGAAATGAAAACAAGCTGATGTGTACATGCTACCTAATGAAAGAGTTTGCAGAAGGATGTTCATGCAAACATAAAGATGCAGACTTTACAAAATTCCAAATGGGTTAAATTGACTACTGCTGCAATTCCTTTCGGAGATCAGCATAACATGTTGAGGTTCAGATCTTTTTGATAGGAAACTATTTGCCTTTGTTGAAAAGAAACAAAACACATTTGGAAGAATTTCCCAGGGAGACGGTTTGGGGAGTCAGTGGAATTGCATTTCAATTGCATGGTTGAGGCAAGTGAAAACCTCAATGCAGATGTATGTGGCTAGAAACTTCAATGTCTGCCATTTGATCTTGGTCTTTGTCCTCATTGGCCCTCTATGTAGGAGTTCCACTTAGTTATTTTTCAAAAAAAAAGCTAGTCATTTCTGGGGGGAGCTTCACTGGTCTAGACCCCGCCATTGGGACATACATCTAACTATTCAGTCAAGTAGCCCTCTTGGATACATTGAGTCTTGAGCAAGCAATGGTGACAGAGACTTTCAGTAAATGATCCTCCATCAGTTTCCTTCCCAAGGTGTTCATGCCTTAAAAGGCCAG